TCCTCTCTGGAGGTTCTGCAAAAACCCTGGGCCTATAGCAGCACAGGGAAGGACAGGAAGGGTCACGGCAACGTGGCTGCCTCATCCTGGGAGGGAGCAGTGTGACATGGTAGCAACCAAGACACCATTCCCTGACTCTTCCCCACATGTCATTCTGACTGGCCCCTATAGAGACAGAGACCCCACCTCCTGTTCTCACGCCAGTCTCTGCAGGCTTGAAATTGGAAGAGAAGCTCCTGCTGCACCCAGAGGTGGAGGAGGCTCTGAGCAAGGCAGAGTGCAGAGACAACCTGGCCTTGGAACCCCTTCTCGAGGGCAAGCCGAGGGCCCTCCAGTCCATGTGGGGAAGGGGGTGCTCTACGGGGCAGCCTCGATGCCGTCTGATACTCACCGGCCCACTGATGGTTCCAGAAGCCAACAGGTCCCCCGGCCGCAGGTTGCAGCCATTGACAGAGTGGTGGGTGAGCTGCTGCAGCATTGTCCAGTACATGTGCTGAGGGCAAGAGACACGGGGACGAGCCGTACACTTAAAATCTGTGCATTTTATCTATTTTTATCTATGTGTGTTATGTTTCAACTAAAAGTTCACTTAAAAAAAAAGAATAAGTCAGTTTCATCAATCCAGCCGCCGGGAGGACAGGAGAAGCCATGGACGAGACCCTTAAAGGATCCCCTATGTCCTCCAAGAGAAGCACTGACCATGTCTATGCAGCCTCCACCTGAAGGGGGGACTCTGTGACCTCATGGCCGCTTCTAGAAAGAGACAGGGAAACCCCAGGCCCACAGACTGACCCATCATCATATCCCCAAATAGAAGCTGCTTTCCTGCGTCACCAGGAAGACCTCCCTCTTTCCCTCACTTCCAAGAAGCAGTCGACCAGCGTCAGAGCTCACCTTGAAATTGGACCTACATATTGTAGCCGCCTGGCTCATTCCTTCTCCTGTTGAAAAGAAAAGAGAACACTGAAGACTTAATTCTATGAACCAGGGAGAAAAAAAACAAGCCACCACCATGCAGGGTGAATTGTTCTGTGGCCTAAGCGTCCCACTGACCAACCTGATTTCACTTAAGAGTCCATGACACAAGAAGCTCATAGGATATCGGGGCTGGGAGACCACCACAGAAGTGATCTAGTCCAGGAGTGGCAGATACACGCACACAGCCACCACTGTCTCCTCCCA